CCGGGATTATTGAGCATGCATCAGGAAATCTCTCCCCCCTCCTTTCCGACGGAAGCTCCAAGTTATTCGTCAAGCGTAAAAAAAAAATAAAAATCTATAGGGAGAATAACAAAAAGACACGGAAGTTGAATGGAGTTCAGTGTGCGATAAAGTCAGTGACAGAGTCTGCACAAAGAAGGGGTCCAGAACCCCTCTGACTGGCCCAACAGAACCAAGCATCAGTTCTGAGCTCTGGATAACAGAGGACGATGTGGAGGTGATCCAGAGGGCGTACTAATGGAGGAAAATACACTTTAAGGTCGTTTTCACACTAGAAAGTCCGGTAGACTCGGTTCGGGACCAAGATTCATGAGCTTTTGTTTACATTTGAGCTGGTGAGTTTGCATTCACACTGCACTGTGCAGTCGAGTCAACCTGTTGAACCAACCTATTCTCCCACTCGCCTGAGGGGGCGCTGCACCAAGAACTACTGAAAGAAACTACACAAAAACGTCTGAAGACACATCTTCTTCTTCTTCTGTAAATAAAAATAAAAACGAAGTGGCATCAAGTTTTAGCAGTTTTAGGAGTTACAGGTCCTTCTCAAAAAATTAGCATATTGTGATAAAGGTCATTATTTTCCATAATGTAATGATAAAAATGAAACTTTCATATATTTCAGATTCATTGCACACCAACTGAAATATTTCAGGTCTTGAATTGTTTTAATACTGATGATTATGGCATACAGCTCATGAAAACCCAAAATGCCTGTCCCAAAAAATTAGCATATCATGAAAAGGTTCTCTAGACAAGCTATTAACCTAACCATCTGAATCAACGACATAACTCTAAACACCTGCAAAAGATTCCTGAGGCTTTTAAAAACTCCCAGCCTTGTTCATTACTCAAAACCGCAATCATGGGTAAGACTGCCGACCCGACTGCTGTCCAGAAGGCCATCATTGACACCCTCAAGCAAGAGGGTAAGACACAGAAAGAAATGCTGAACGAATAGGCTGTTCCCAGAGTGCTGTATCAAGGCACCTCAGTGGGAAGTCTGTGGGAAGGGAAAAGTGTGGCAGAAAACGCTGCACAACGAGAAGAGGTGACCGGACCCTGAGGAGGATTGTGGAGAAGGGCCAATTCCAGACCTTGGGGGACCTGCGGAAGCAGTGGACTGAGTCTGGAGTAGAAACATCCAGAGCCACCGTGCACAGGCGTGTGCAGGAAATGGGTTACAGGTGCCGCATTCCCCAGGTCAAGCCACTTTTGAACAAGAGACTGCGTCAGAAGCATCTTGCCTGGGACTGCTGCTGAGTGGTCCAAAGTTATGTTCTCTGATTACAGTAAATTTTGCATTTCCTTTGGAAATCAAGGTCCCAGAGTCTGGAGGAAGAGAGGAGACACAGAATTCACATTGCTTGAGGTCCTGTGTCAAGTTTCCACAGTCACTGGGGTGTCATGTCATCTGCTGGTGTTGGTCCACTGTGTTTTATCAAGGGCAGGGTCAATGCAGCTGGCTATCAGGAGATTTTGGAGCACTTCATGCTTCCATCTGCTGAAAAGCTTTATGGAGATGAAGATTTCATTTTTCAGCACGACCTGGCACCTGCTCACAGTGCCAAAACCACTGGTAAATGGTTTACTGACTATGGTATTACTGTGCTCAATTGGCCTGCCAACTCTCTTGACCTGAACCCCATAGAGAACCTATGGGATATTGTGAAGAGAAAGTTGAGAGACGCAAGACCCAACACTCTGGATGAGCTTAAGGCCGCTATCGAAGCATCCTGGGCCTCCATTACACCTCAGCAGTGCCACAGGCTGATTGCCTCCATGCCACGCCGCATTGAAGCAGTCATTCATGCAAAAGGATTTCCGACCAAGTATTGAGTGCATAACTGAACATGATTATTTGAAGGTTGGCGTTTTTTGTATTAAAAACACTTATCTTTCATTGGTGGGATGAAATATGCTAATTTTTTGGGACAGGCATTTTGGGTTTTCATGAGCTGTATGCCATAATCATCAGTATTAAAACAATTAAAGACCTGAACTATTTCAGTTGGTGTGCAATGAATCTGAAATATATGAAAGTTTCATTTTTATCATTACATTATGGAAAATAATGACCTTTATCACAATATGCTAATTTTTTGAGAAGGACCTGTACATTTTGTCATTTTTCAAAAATGGACTTAGCATGAGTAGAAGATGAGACAGAAGACCATGGAGAATATTGTTTTTCCACACAAGGCAGCTGACGGCTCCATATGAGGTAAGAGAAATGCGTGTTTGTTTACCCTGCGGAGCGGGCTCGGTCCGTTTACATTCACACTGCACTCGAACCGCTCTGGAGTTCGCTTCTACCGGACCGAGACCTAGGTTTTAGCCCGGGCCAGAGTTCGCCTTTTTGTTCCGTGACAGAGTTCGATGGCGCGTTCACACCTCCCTAAACGAGCCGGACTTTCTAGGAAAATGAGCTAGAGTTCGATTAAAGTGGACTAAACAGGGCTAGTGTGAATGCACCCTAAGAAAAATTATCATAAAATAAATATTTTGTCAAAAAAAAAAAAAAAAAAACATGTAGAGGTTTTAAACAAACAAAAAAAAGACTTAAATCATTAAAATTAGATATATTTATTTTAGGCTGATAGCTCTAAAAGACTTGAGTAGTTGTTTTTTTTTTGTGGAGGAAATATTTTAAACTAGTATTTTAAAGCAGTTAAATAAAGGTGGTTGGTTTTTCCCTGAGGAACACGAATAAATAAAGATAAAAGGGTTAAAACCGTCTTATTCAAATAAGATAATAATGTCTGTAGTTAGGCAGCACGGTGGCGCAACTGGTAGAGCTGCTTCCTCTCAATGAACAGGTCCCTGGTTCAAATCCCGGTCCAGGGGCCTTCTGGGTGGAGTTTGCATGTTCTCTCCGTGCATGCGTGGGTTTTCTCCGGGTGCTCCGGTTTCCTCCCACAGACCAAAAACATGCATGTTAGGCTGAATGGTAACTCTAAATTGTCCCTAGGTGTGAGTGAGAGAGTGAATGGTTGTTTGTCTCATTTGTTTGTCTCTATGTGGCCCTGTGATGGACTTGCGACCCATCCAGGGTGTACCCCGCCCCTCGCACAGTGATTGCTGGACATGGGCACCAGCGACCCCCGTGACCCAAAATGGAATAAACGGGTAAAGATAATGGATGGATGGATGTCTGTAGT